GCCAACAGTCCCACAAATGATTCTATTTTTATTTTGATTAGTTAGTTGTACAACCATTGACATCTGACAGACAACATTTAGTTAGAAATCTGCTTTCTGTTCGTCCACTGGTTGTGATCGTCGTCCTGTCTGCGACATTAAATAATTCCTGAGGACTTCGGGGGCTGTCCTTAAACGCCTCTTGATCAGCCAGTTGGTCGGTGTAAGGCTCGTTGCATGCGAGGGTAACCATTGTGCAGGGCTGGCCAACTCAGCATACACTCAGGGCACAAGGCTGGGCCGTGTGCACACCTTTAGACACACACACTATCTGGATCGCACAGGAACGCTGACGTCAAGAGACAATCAGGAAGAACTGAGGGAGGGGTAGAGTCCATGTGATAAGTTCGGGAAGAATCCATTCTGCCAACAGTCCCACAAACGATTCTATTTTTATTTTGATTAGTTAGATGCACAACCATTGACATCTGCAAGACAACATTTAGTTAGAAATCTGCTTTCTGTTCGTGGACGAATTAAGTAAAAATAGTTTCGTTTGTAGGAATCTGGACTTACCTGTTGACCCACATGTGTAGACTCTAACACAGCCGCCGACTAATTATTTTATTTATTTTAAATCGATCTGTGTACTATGTTGTGATAGGCATCGAGAGTGACCTAGTGCAGTTTGTGTGCAGTGCTGTAGCTTATGAGTGACAGGGAGAACACTAGCGAGGACGATAGGATCCTGCAATCAGCAAGGCGCCCTATAGCCCACGTGGCATTAAGACCCAGGGGTGACAAACTCCTGTTCCGCCAGCAAAAGGAGAGACAGCAGCAGCAGCGAAGGGTTAGGGCCGCAGAGGCAAGCACGACGTTCGCAAGCGAAGCCGCTACTTCAACAGCCATGGCCACAACTGCGCAGCAGAGCTCTCAGGCTAGTAGTTCAAGGATTGTAGGGTCAACGGTTGCACAGACCCTGAGTCAGTACGTTGGCGTCATGGCAAGCCAGCAGTTGGTGTTAACCCCCGAGGAGGTCGCCATACCGCGAGCAGCTGCTCGCGAGGCACAGTTACAGCAGGCTTTAGGAGAGATAAAGGCAGAGAAAGGAAGAATGATCAGGAGAAGATCGAGGATGCAGCGGAGACAAGCGGACGTTAGTGAGTTAGAGGGGATGGACCTGACAAACATGGATGATGATGTGAGGACCCTGCGAGCAGTCCTGCTAGATGTAGTGGAAATGCAGGACCACCAGACAACTCTCTTACATGACATCCAGCAGAGCCTGGCCGTGCTGGTTGGGCGAATTCAGGCAGCATCATCACCATCAGGGCTCGGTGCTTGGCCTGTGGTACAACCTCCTCGTTTTGCCCCGCCGGTGACTAGGGTATACCCATTTGTAGTCCCTCCAACATCGGTACGGGCCACTTCCCTAGGTATGCCTTTGACAGGCGGGTTCTCAGCAGGTACTAGTGTACAGATTCTTGCACAGACAGTGTATTCCCAACCCCCGTTACAGACTGTCGTAACTGGGCAGCCTGCTGTCTCGCAGCCAGCACAACCGCAGGGCACACAACCCCAACAGCAGCTAGTGCAGCAACCTGTGCCCCAGGGTCCACAACCTGGAGTGGCGCTGGTACCGGGACAAGGCCAGTGGGTTCCAAAGATAGCTATCGCCTCCCCGAAACCCTTCTTAGGGGATAAGAGGGGCAAAGACCTTGACACATGGTTACGATCAGTGCCAGACTACGTCAAGTGTAAGTTAACCTTTCCGCACGAGGAAGTGCTTGTGGCTGCCTCCTACCTGGAGGGGAGTGCAACAACATGGTAAGTGGGCTAGTGCAACTACAGGGGTACGGACATGACTTCCGCGCTTGGGCAGTCAACCAGAAGCTGGAGGACTTCCTTAAGCTGGTGGAAGAAAGGTGGCGTGATCCTCAGGAGGCCCAAAAGGCCACTGATGCGATCCTGCCTTTGAGCAATAGACCGTTCAAGTCAGTAAGGGATGCCACAGACGCAGTGGAGCGTCTGATCTGTGTGCCTGGCTTATGCCACTCAGGAATCAGTTGGCGGGTGAGGCAAACATCAACGTGCACAACTTCCCCTCGTTTAGCAAGAAGGCCCTAGACCTGGAAGCAAAGATAGGCACGAACACCAACCTACAACGGACGGAAGGAAGGAAGCACTGCCTCCCAACTGGAAGGCGAAGGGTCGCATCATGTTCGTCGATAACGATGGTTCCACCATCGAACTAGATGACGACTTCCAAGAGGGAGTAGGTTCAGAGGCGGGCAGCGTAGAGGCTTCAGGGGGTGTGGAGCAGTCGCTGCCTCAGTCCAAAAAGGTAAGACGACCGGTAGACGTCGTGGAGGCTTCCGGTCTAGGAGTCAAGTTGACCCCAACGCTCCTCCATGGGAGAAAGCGGGTGTCACTGAGGACGTGTGGAGATACCGGTACACCCGGCAGGCTTGTACCCATTGTGGCCAATATGGCCATAATCAGTTCAAGTGTCGGATCAAGAAGGTGACCGAAAAGATCCTACCTACAATGGGGCAGGCTATGGGATCCTCCTCTTCCCAGGGCAGTAATGTGGCCAGCAGTTCTGGAGTTGCTCCGGGAAACACGTCGGGTCAGTAGGAATGGTAGTTGTTCCTGCTAGGGTCGAGATGGTGGATACACCTTCACCATCTCGAGAGATGGCCCAAGCTATTGACTCCATTGTCGGTCCCGCAAACACATTTGGACCCATCGATCCTTTGTTTGATGAATGTGTTCGAGTCCTTGGAGGAGCTAGAGGAGGAGTGGTCTAGATCAGACCCGCTAGCTTCTTGGACGGCCTTGGCTAAAGCCCCTAAGGGTGAGTTATTCGTCGGCGAGGTAGTCATCGGTGGCCGCAAGGCCGAGGCCTATTACGAAACTTGCTCGATGCGAAATTTTATCAGTCGCGCATGCGTCGAGAGGCTGCGCTTACAGGGGCAAGTGCAGCGCCTGAGTCGACCTGTGGAGTCGACCTGTGGAGTCGACCTGTGGAGTCGACCTGTGGAGTCGACCTGTGCCAACAAACAACGCATGGTAGTCACTGACTACCTTAAAGACATAGAGTGTCTATTCCCGTACGCGGGAGGGGAGCTGAGAGATCGAGTCTCGTTCCTAGTCAGTGATGATCTCCCAATGGACATCCTGTTGGGTATGTACTATCTTTCGATTGCACAACCCCAGTTTGATTGGGACCGAAAGTGGTCAAACACCCTTTGCTCAAAGGGGGGACTGCCAATGTACATAAATTTAAGGCTAGTAGTCTGATCGAGTCCTACGGATGCATGTGTGCGCCTGCGTTCTTTAATTATTATAAGCAAAATCCGGAGGAGGGTATGTACTTAGTTTATGTCTCTGCAGCAGGCGAGTCGGTGAAAGTTTTGTCGGAGATAGAGGGAGTAGTCGTTAAATACCTTGGTCTATTTGAAGAGCCGAAAGGGGTTGTTGAGAGGGAGGTTGTCCACGCAATAGAAATTATCCCAGGGTCTAGTATTCCGAAGGGTAGGATCTATCGGATGTCTCCAGCTGAGCTCGATGAGCTTCACCGGCAACTCAAGGAGCTCATAGAGAAGGGTTGGATCCGGCCTAGCATTTCCCCTTACAGATCTCCTGTCTTATTTGTGGCAAAGAAGGGGGGAACCTTGAGGATGTGCATTGACTATAGGGGCCTCAATGCCATCATTGTTAAGAACAGAGAGCCCCTACCGCGCATCGATGACTTGTTGGACCGAGTGCAAGGGTGTCGGTACTTCAGTAAATAGATCTGAAGTCTGGGTACCATCAAATTACAATACGGCCCAAGGATCAACACAAAACCGCTTTTCAGACCAGGTACGGTCTGTACGAGTTTATGGTGATGCCTTTCGGCCTTTGCAATGCTCCTGGCACCTTTCTTTTTTTTAAAACACACACACACACGGCCCATCTATTTCGGGGGGCGACAGTCCGGTTGCTTATCACCGGCAAGCATAGAAAGCAATAGTTTGAAAAGATAGACAGAAAACAAATAGAAGGGGGGGGTCAGGGAAGTATCGGCACTTGCAGGTGCAAGTTGTCGCATGCGTCAGGCTTGGCGGCTTCTGAACTCAGGTGCCTTTACTCGTGGGGGGCGTGTTGTCGGGAGGCATACCGCACCCTGTCGTTGCACCCCCACCATAAGGACAGGCGCCTGCTAGAAAAGTCGGCAAGCCTTCGCTCCTTCCTCCAAAAAAAGAAAAAAAGAAAAAAAAAAAGGTCATGTTAAAGTGTCCCTCACCCTCTGCTTTCTCCTACCCGTCCCATTCCCTTAACCCTACCCCCATCTTCCTTCCCCCCTGATGTACAGTTCCTATTTATCTGTATCGTGAGGTCACGTTTCGTATTGTTCACGTCGTTGTAGCTGCTGGTCATGACTGTATGAAAGTTGCTGCCGCGATCTGCAGAGATGTCGGTATTCTTGACTGTAACTTTGGTCTTGATCCCATTCGGTCTCGTGAAGCGGGTGCGGTATTTGTCCCACATCGATTCAATAATAGGTCTCCCATTGTGAGGGTTCGTCCTTGCACCTGCAGACGCAGCTCATCAAAAGAAGAAGAGAAAGCAATTTATTTGTTGAACATATCCAGGTATCTCATCCCCTCCCCTCCCTCCCCTTTCTTCTGTCCTCCTCCTTTCCTCCCTCTCCCTCTTCGAAAACCTACCACTTTATCCGTGTGCTTACCCCCCATTCCCTGTCATTTATGTCCTCTAAATGTCATGCCTGTTTCCATTCAACCTCTTTAGCTTTAAAGGGGCAATATGCAGTCCTATATTTGTACAGTGTCTGAAGTGGTTATCCCTATTCTCATTTTACCTAAACTTGTGTGAGCAATATTATATATGTTTATTCATTCATATTATGTACATAGTGAAAGGAGCGTTCTGATTCGTACTATATTGTACAAGCGTTATCAATGTTGCTATTCTAAACATTGGGCTCATCCCTCGGCTGAAGTTGGAGTATACACCTGTCAGTCGTGTTCTGCGACACATCTTCTCGGTCTTGTGATTGTCGGAGAACTGCCTCAAATGCGGGGGCCCAGGCCCATTCTCCCTTTTGTTCCTCAATTCGCAACACCTGTGGATATGATTTCCATGCAGCCCTGAAGAAGGACCAGCCTCCGTTTCTTCGGCGGTGAACATCTGCTGTGACCGCCGTCTGCAAATTCTTCAAAGTCCAAGCCTTGAGTGTGTTCGGAGAACCGTGTTGTCCCGTCCGAAGCAAGCGTCCCCTTATGGCCCAGACCGCGCCCCAAAATGCTGCTCTCACAGTATCTCCTGCATAAGCGGCCTCAAGTGTTGATGCAGCCCCCATTAGTGCCATCCCTACCATCACTTGGCCTCTGTGTGTAGGGCATTCCGGATGCAAAGGTATCCGTGTGCCCACCGTTTGCCACCATTGCCAGAATTTGGCCTGTGAGTCACAGTCCAGCCACATGTGTGGGAGGGTCTCATCCTGACATCCACACTCCTGACACTGTGTGTCTGTGGCTGTGCTGTGCGCCGCCATCCATTGAAATGTCGGTAGGGCGAGATGCAGATTAAGCCACAATTCTCCTGCTCGCTTTTGTTCCGGCAGCGTCGTGAGAGTTCTGCTGGCCACTTTCCACTGATGTTCTGTCCAGGTATGTACTTCCTGTGCTTCCAGCCATCCTCGCTTCACCCATCTTGTCTTCATCTCCTCTGCCATATCTGTGATTCTCAACAGTGTGCGGTATATGGTCTTGGTAGTGACTTGGTGTGACCTGCACTGTTTTCGCTGTGTGTTCTTTGCACTCCATTCCCACGAAGAAGGGTCCCCGGGCAGTTGACATGGGGTTCTTCTTGGTTTGAAAGGCTGAAACTTCGGTTCTGAGTGTTGTGTGCGATCCTTGAGAACCACCACTGAGCACATATTGAGTCTATGAATAAGCCCATCTCTGCTTGAAATTCTTGTCATTGGTTCCCCAAGTGCTGCGTTTGGATCCGCGATCTCCCATGCCTCTGTTTCATACCAGTCTTGTTGGGCTCCAGATCTCAGTCGGAAGAGAGCTTGTGGTGGATCCTCTGTGTTAAGCGCTACCCATTCCCCTTGCATCCTCTGATTCAGTCGCATGCGATGTACCCATGTTGCTGGTATGGCTTCTCTGAGTTGTCGCAGGCGCACTTGGCGATCCGGTTGTTGCCGTAGGAGGGCTGCCATCTGTGTGTCAGTCTTCCATTCATTCTCAGTAGAATCCCAAAGGTCCTGAATTCTCGAAACCCTGCAAGCAAGCCACTGCCGCCCAAAGGCTCCAGGTTCATTCTGCCATGCAAAGGGACGTCCTTGTCTGCAAATGAAGGCGTTGCCAAACAAGGATTGTCCCAAAATTTGATCCATCGTTTTGGGAGCTGTTTGTCGCAGTGCATTGTTCTTCCATTTTTCCAGCGTTGGGGTCCACAGTGCCCCACGTGTGAGCCCTTGTTGAAGTTGCGGGTACAACAATGTTGTTTCCACATCTGCTACCTTGAGAGCCTTCGTCATGCTGGCCAGTGTAATGATTTTCCACGGAGCGTCTTCTTTCTCCAGAAGCAGCCACATCACCGTTCTCATTTGGAGCGTTGTAGCTTGCAGATGTGGGTCCAACAGTCCCAGACCTCCCTGTGCTCTGGGCTGTATCAGTTTCTCCCAACGAACACGATAAATCAGTGGTGGTGCATACGGATCGTTCTTCCAAAGGTATTTCCTAATTGCCAGTTTATACTCACGCCATGCCCTGTTCTCCGGGGCCGATAAAGGTGCAGCGTACCACAGTGTGGAAGAAGCTGCATTATTAGCTATGATGGTCCTCCCCACTACTCCCATATCTATGCCTTTGGCCCATCTATGCATTTTGCACAGAGCAGTTGTTAGCAATCTTTTCGTTTGTTCTCCTGTTGTGAGTGTTGCTGGGAGCAGAATACCCAGGTAGCGAGTGTTCTGTCCTTGCGGTACGATCTTCATGTCTTGGAAGAGATCCGGGTCCGCGTTTGGGGGAAGAAGAACTGTGGATTTCTCCCACTTAACTTGTGCCCATGCAAAGTGCTGAAACGTAGCAACAGTGTGGCGCATGGCTGACACACTCGTGTCAGATGCTTCTGTGACTGCCGCAGTGTCGTCTGCGAAGCTATTGGACTTGAGCTGCAGTCCCAGAACGATGGTCAGTCCTCTTATAGCGACATTTGCTCTGATCATGTCATGTAGGTGTTCTACATACAAAATGCACAGAGCCGGTGAAAGAGGACATCCTTGGCGGACTGAACGTGTGACATTCATCAGCTGTGAGCGAAAGCCATTAATTTGACTTCTCGCCGCAGCCGTATGTAGCAGGCGATCGACGACCCCTATAAATGCCGGTCCTATCCCTCTCTCTTCAAGGCCTTGCGGCAGAAAGCTCCAACGCACTCTGTCGTACTCTTTTTCAAAGTCCAAAAGGAGGACAGCTAGTGGCGGATCAGATTCTGTGGCCATTTGTATGATCTCTCTAACCATTATGACGTTTGTAAGAATCTGCCTTTCTGGCACAAAACCGGTCTGAGTGGAATGGATGAGGGTGGGAAGCACTGTGGCCATTCTGTTGGCCAAGACTTTGGCAAAGTGTTTATATGGCGCTGAAAGCAGTGAGATAGGACGCCAATTCTTGATATTTGCTGGATCCCCCTTTTTATACAACAATACTATTGTGGCATCCCCAAATCCAGGCGGTGTTTGTTTCTGTCCCAGGAAGATTGCGTTAAAAAATTCAGTAAGCAGTGGTAAAATTCGTCTGTACACAGCATGCAGATGGTCCATAGGAATCCCATCCGGGCCAGCGGCCTTGTTTTTAGGCAAATCTGCTAAAGCTCGCAGGATCTCTCCTGGTGTGATCGCCTGTTCTAAAGCATGTGCTTGCTGTGATGTGACCGCAGTTCTACATGTTGTCCAGACCTCCCCCCATGCTTGTTCTCGAAATTGCTGTCGGTCCCATTCTTCTATTTCTGTATAGAGTGTGGAATAGAACAGCGCTGCGTATTGCATTGTATGTGGGGTGGTGGTGGCCATTTGTGCTTGTGGATGGTATGGGTGTTGTAAGGATGTCATCTTGTCCGCTGTTCGTCTGTCCTTCACTAGTTGGAAGAACGCTGATGTCATGCGTTCCGCGAGGCCAATCCAACGTGCCTTGTTGGCTGATCCCCATCTTATTGCATTTATCCTTTGCCACTCCTGCCATTGTGCGTGCAGAAGTAGGCGCCGTGCTCGCGCAGCAAGAGGGGCCAAAGTTAAGGCCTGTTGAGTACATGTCCAAAAAGATGCCCTCTCAGAAGTTGGCAAAGTCCACCTATAAGAACCTTTATGCGATCTATAAAGCGCTAACCCACTGGAGACACTACCTCCTTGGGAGGTTCTTCTCGCCAGGACTGATCACCAGACCCTGAAGTGGATGAGAACCCAGCCAGTGCTCTCTAACGCATTGAAAAGATGGATCGAAGTCATTGAGCAGTATGACTTTGAGCCTCAGTACATTAAAGGAGATTACAACAGAGTTGCTGATGGGCTGTCGTGTAGGCCAGACTTCCTCGATGCGCTGATCACTGAGTTTGGGCTTGCAGACGATGTTACTCGTTCCTTGGTGGAAGCCTATCGCGAGGATCCGTTCATGGCTGAGATCATAGGCAGATTCGAGGCGAAGGACAAAGTGACTTCTGTCGAGTTTGAGTTGGTCAACGGCCTGCTGTTCCTTGAGAAGGCCGGGAATAAACGCTTGTGTGTGCCTAATTGAGAGTCTTTGCGTAGTTTATTTTTAGGTGAGTGTCATGATGCCACATGACATTTTGGCTACAAAAAGACTGCAGCCAACTTGCTGCAGCAGTTCTAGTGGCCCACAATGATGAGAGGCGCCAAGCTTTGCGTGGAGACTTGTCAGGTATGTCAGAGAGCCAAGCCACGTACACAGGTCCCTCTTGGGCTTCTCAAGCCCCTTCCGATACCGGAAAGGCGCGGTGAGAGCCTGTCCATGGACTCCATGGACACGCTGGTCACCAGCAAGAGTGGAATGCGATATGTCTATGTCATTGTGGATAGGTTTAGCAAGTATGATTGGTTAGTCGCAATGCCTGCAACAGCCAAGACTGAGTACGTGATCAAACTATTCAAAGAGAACTGGGTCAGAGACTTCGGTTTGCCAAAGTCTATAATTAGTGATCGGGATGTGCATTTTTTACCAGTGAATTGTGGAAGGCCGCAGCTGCAGATGATGCAAACGGACAACCAGAGCAGCTGAACCACGTTGTTCAACACCTGCGGCATTATATCAAGCCCAATCAGGTGGACTGGGATGAGAAACTTGCTCTCATCGCCAGTCTCTATAACAACTTTGTGCACAACACAACCAGGGTGAGCCCCAACAGTTTGCTACTGACTTTCAAACCTACAGTGCCCTTAGATTTTCTACTACCTGAAAATCAGCCTTCTGCTGCACTAGGCACCCTAGAGTTTGCATATCGATATGAGCGCCTGATGCAGCAAGCTGTAGAACAGATGCAAAGGGCACATGTGGCAATGATAGAGTCTGAGAATAAGCACCACCACCCATCTACACTCTAGGTAGGGGACAAAGTCCAGGTCAAGTCCTCCGAATTGGGACAAGAGCACGGGATATCCCGAGCTTTGGACCCTGGGAGGTTCTAGATATCGCCGGGAATGATCCGGATGGGTCGTCATATGTAGTGCAGATCCCTGGTCACCTTCGCACTTACCCTGTTTTTCACGCCTCCAAGCTTGCACCTTTCAAGGAAACTGATCAGTTTTCCTCACGACGCTCAATGCTGCCCCCAACCATGGATCGAGAGGTCGACATCGATGACATTGTGGACCACAGGGAAATGCCAGTTCCAAGACCGACAGGCAGAGGACGTCCTCCGAAGCCGAAGCTGCAGTACCGCGTTCGGTTTAGACACCATACTGCTTCAAAGGAGGATAGATGGTTTGCACGGGAGGAACTGATGCAGACCGCCCCACAGGTTGTCGCCCATGACAAGAAGTTGCTGCAGAAAGGCGCAAGATTGAATAAACTTCTTAGAGGACTAGCGAAGTGTGGAGGAGGGAATGCGAGGCGAGAGGCCTCGGCAAGCCCTGTTGGGAGATGTTATCATAAAAAATGGTCGGCCTAAGTGAAGGCAGGCCCAACTCGGGCCTAGAGGCCTATGTTGCACTACCACGCAACTGGGGAAATTCAGGCAGTTGCGCAGCACCAGTTGGTTGAAAGCGCCCAGACCCAGGCTGCCTTTATTGTGTGTAACTAAGGCAGGCCCTGGGCCAGGTACGCAACACGGACTGAACACAGGCTGCGGGCAGGCTTAACCACCACAGACCCTGGGCCTGACTCGTTTAGACTGAGGCTCAACCTCTCGGGGCCTACCGGAAGCTTCTGGGCCGAGGCCCAATGCGGCTAGGCCGCACGCAGTAGGCAGGCCACTTCCGTTTAGGAAAGTGCTTGCCCCCTCATTCGGCATTCGGGCACTGGCTGCATGTTGCGCAAGCACTGATGCGTATTTGCTGGCGAGCGCCCACGCGCTCACGGGCGAGCTGGATGAGCAGGCAACCATAGTCGAGCTGCGTTGCACTATGCTGGATGGGGCGCATGGTGGTCCTTGGGTGCATGTGGCATCTGTGGGTGGGGGATCGAGTGGGTGGGGGATCGAGGTTGTGAGTGATACGAGAGACATACCTGGTGCTTGGGCGAACGGCATTGGTCGAGATCTGCTCATACTTCGGGGAGTTGTTGACGTCACTAGCGGCATTGTAGATAGGCTAGCTAGGATCTGCCATTTGTAGTCTGGGCGCAGAGCCCCAGATAGGATGTCGACATTGGTTCTTTGTTGATGATGATAAGACTATTCCAACATTGTCACTTACGAGCTTTTGCTGTGCTCTTATTTGGTGGAACTCATATTGCAATTTTGATTTTGGTTCGAGGTCACGATTATTTCGTCCCATGTGTATGATGCTGCTTGGTTTCTGAAGTTCGCTATCGCTCATTTTCCATTGCAACAGTATGTCTACTGTTATTATAAGCATTAGCAATCTTTGTTAAGTTCTCATCCCAATCTATTTGATCGGGTTGGACATACATGCACAAAAGTTGCTGGCACAGACGATTCATTTGTTCTGTTTTGCCATTCGTTTCAGGGTGTCTTCCTGACCACATGGTCAACCTGGTGCCATAGACTTCCATTAACTTCTGCCATTGTAGAGTGGTGAACCGAACATCCCTGTCAGAGACGATTGTTTTCGGGAATCCATACTCAGAGGCCTCTATCTGGAATTTCTAAATGACCAGCTCAGTTCTAGCTCTGGTAGGCAAAGGAATGAACATAGCATACTTTGAGAATCTATCCACGATAACCATTACCTGACTGTTGTCGTTTCGTCTCTTAGTGAGACTCATAAAGTCTATAGAGATAGACTCACCTGACTCACTTGGAATAGGCAGTGGTCTCAACAGTCCCAACGGATTCTCATGCGAAGGCTTGTTTCTTTGACAGACAAGACAGGTTCGCACATAGGTTAATACATCCTCCTTCATTCATTCCATTCAAAGTGTTCTCGCACATTACCATACGTCTTCTTGAAACCAAATTGACCCTCAACATCATGACATTCCCCAATGATTAGACTTTTGATTCGTTCTTGATGAGGACTACATACTCTTTCTTCGGTTCTATCGAGGTAGAAGAGTAAGCCATCAGTCATTCGATATTCTGGGGAATTGTTCAGGGTTCTTTCGTAGGGTCCAAATGATAGGACTCCAAATAGGATCACTCTCATAACCCGTCCGGATTTATTCCTTTAGTTGATTCCCGATATCGAGATAGGGACAATAGTTCCAAAGAAATCTGCACGCCTGGATAAAGCATCCGCAACCACATTAGACTTTCCTTGATAGTTTTTAATTCAAAGTCGAAGGTGTCGATGAAAGCGGACCATCTAACTAACTTATCAGAGAGTCTAGGCTGGGACTTTATCCACTTCAGAGTATAATGATTTGATTAGACAGTGAAGTGCCTCCCTAACAAGCAGTACTTCGCGGTGTCTAGTGCAACAACTAAGGCATACAATTCTCTTTCATAGGTGGAGTTGGTCACTTTCTCTGACGGAAGTCTCCTGGACATAAACTCAATCGGTCGATATCTCTTACCATCATCCTGCTGTAGCACAACTCCAATCCCATACTGACTTGCATTAGTCGTGACGATGAAAGGGAGAGAAGGATCAATAATCTTTAAGACAGGGTAGTGAGTGAGAACATACTTCGACTTTCTGAATGATGACTCACAATCTTTGTGTCACAACCAAGGCTTTTCCCTTTTTAGAAGTCTTCTCATAGGAGCAACTATCAAAAAGAAGTTTATGACGAACTTCCGATAGTAACTAGCAAGTCCTAGAAAAAATTTCAACTCAGTTATAGTCTTAGGTTGGGACCAGTCTCGAATTGTTGTAATCTTCTTTTCCTCGGGCCTTAGTCCCTCCACATTTACTATATGCCCTAAGTACAAGACTTCAAGTTTAGCAAACTTGGATTTTTTCTGGTTCAGTTTGAAGTTGTCCTTGCGCAACTTCTGCAAAACCATTCGTAGGTGTTTCTCGTGGTTTTCTAGTGTCGCAGGTGCATTAGTCAAACCGAAAGGCAGAACCACAAACTCGTAGTGACCACACCTGGTTCTGAAAGCCGTCTTATGTTGATCTTCAGGAGCCACCTCGATTTGGTGGTACCCTGACTTGAGATCAAATTTACTGAAGTACCTGCAACCTTGCAACTGGTCGAACAGGTCATTAATGCGCGGAAGTTGTTCCGCGTTTTTCACAGAGACGGAGTTTAGCCCTCGATAGTCAATGCATAGTCGAAGTTCACCTTCCTTTTTGGGCACGAATAAGACAGGAGCACCATAAGGAGATGAGCTAGGGCGAATCCACCTTCGTCTGTAAGTTCCTGCAACTGTTTCTCAAGTTCCTCAAGTTCCCTAGGAGACGTTCGGTAGATGGGACCCTTGAATTTTATTCCGCGAAGTACGAACGTCTCGTCCTTTAGTTTGACAATTTTTTCTTTAAACCTTACCTCTGGGTCGACTTCCCCATGCCAATCCATTCCCAGAATCATATCAAATGGCAAGTTTTTTTCGATTAGGAAGGATACTTCGTGTAGGATCTTCTTTCCTTCCTTGGTCCTGAAGTAACATGTCACACGATCGAGGTATTGAGAGACAATGATCGTTCTCTTGTCAGCGAGCATAGACGTGATAGGTCGAGGTAAATCCTTTACCTTCATTCCCACATGCAATTTACGAATTGCCTTCTTTGAGATGTAAGACCGCGTCGATCCTGGGTCTAACAGTGCACCTACCCTCGTATGTGCAATCTCAATGTTCGCGATTATGAGTTCACCCTTAGTCTTCGCATTCTTAGCCCACGAACTTCGAAGTGCTATGAGTTCATTGTCGAGCTCGTCAAGGGAATCGGGAATCATCCAGTGAGACAGAACAAAGAACAGTCCCAGGGTGCTTTGGACAATGGGCTGAAGAAGAGCCATCCTCTGCCTTAAGAGTCGAGGTGTTAGAAGGGGTTGTTGGTGCCTTACCTTTATCTTTGTCTAAACCCTTCGACTTAGTAGGAGCAGATGCTACTCCTACTAGTTGCTCGCTTTTGGGTTAATGAAAGGACACGAAGCGATCACGTGTCCCGCGGTACCGCATTTGAGGCTGGCGGTTGTCCATTTTGGACCGCCACTCCTCTCATGTCATTCCCATCTTTTCCTAAGGCTTCCTGAACGCAATGTTGGGGTGCTTGGGAAACGATCGTGACCTCCTCTTCTTCTTCCATTGACTTTGGCCTCCCTTGTTGGCCATTACAGCAGCGACGTCACCCTTCCCAGACTCACTGGCGCCATTACCTCCTCCTCCCTCAAACTCGTCGAGGGCTAACTTCTCTACGGTATCATCGTCAAAAACTACAAGGATGTGGTCTTGGCGCTTTTGCCGCCAAAGGACCCACTTACCGTACCCACCAACCGGACCATTCTTCACAACAGACGCATACGGTCCCTTTTACCTATGCGGTCATTTGCTCCCTTTGGAGCGCGAGATCTCGGAACTGCCGATAGTTGTACTTACCGGATTTGACTTCCGCTACGAGATGTCCTCGGTTGGGTTCAAGCAAAGCTCGTGAGAAAATATAAAGGACTTGGTTCTCATGCAGGTTCAGACCAAGTACCTGCAACAATCGATCGACTTAACGAGATAGTTCATCTACAGAGATCCAACGCTTTTGCCCTATGGTGGTGAGCTCGTCGAAGGCCTTGTCGACCGTCTTATCCAAGAATCTCTTGATCTTTTGGAGAAATTCTCGGAGAGTCAGGGTCTTTGCCCACTCACCGATATCCTCGAAGCCAGCAGCGTTGGCCTCGGACAATACCCATTCCTTGGCTGTCTCACGAAGAAAAGAAGTCGAAAAATCCACTTAGCTTTCCGGCTCTACCGGTGCAGTGCTACAATATGTTTGGATTTCTGCAATCCAGAGCAATAAGTGCTCGCCCCTTTTTCCATTATAGGTAAAGGGAAGTTTCATTTTGACATTTTCTTTCCTTTTCGACTTCTTGATTTCTTTGGGCGGTCTCTTCCTTTTTGGCGGGTTCTTCTTTCTTCTCTGCCGGTTTCTCGGGTTCCTTCTTAGAACCTTCGGATTTCTCCGGCGTGACTCTCTTCATTCCATCCTTCATCAGTTTCTCCTGGGGTTTTCTCTTTACTTCTTCCCCCTTGGTCTCCTCCTCAACCCCGACCTTTTCCTTGCCCTTCAGAAGTATGGTCACTGCATCCAGTGAGGCAGTGTTGTTGTCTATCTTTTTTTCTATGTGCATAAGGTAAGCCATCATGGATTGAAGAATGGATGCAAGTTCACTATCTGCTTCGTCATAATGAAATTTATGTCGTAACTCTTCCATCAGTTCTTTCGTCCTGTTCTCTTTATTCTTTCTTTCTCCTTCTTCTATTCTCTTTCTTTCTGCTTTCAGTGTGTTTTCTAGCTGCCTAATATTATCCTCCAACATTTCCTCAGACAATACAGGTTCCACCTTCTTTTCTTTCTTCTCTTCTTTTTTTTTCTTCCTTTCCTGGTCCATCCTTTCCAAATTCTCGACGACATACCGGTCAAGGGTCATTCGCCCTTGCTTTATGAGGTCCTCGACTCTCTTACCGGTTTCCATCATCTGAACGGCTATCTCTGCAGCACGCAGATTGAAGTGTCTGTGTACCAGTCGTTCAGCTTCTGGACCGGCGTCGTGTATCTCACCGAGCAACTAGCGAAGAAGGCCGATNTCAGCTTCTGGACCGGCGTCGTGTATCTCACCGAGCAACTAGCGAAGAAGGCCGATCAAAGTCTGCCTTCTCACATCAATTTGACCACGGGTCTTGAGTTCATCTGCTCTTATTCATGCAGCAACCATGGTTGCTGCAGGTATATTTCTTGTAGCTCGTTTATTTCCTTTATTCCAGATGTTTCCGTGCATAATGAATCTAATTACATGCATTGGTATTCTTACAGCTTTCTTAGGTTCTACTATAGCCCTTAGTCAAATTGATCTAAAAAAAAGTTTAGCTTATTCAACAATTTCTCAACTTGGATATATGATGGTTGCAATGGGGATAGGATCATATAAAGCTGGTYTATTTCATCTTGTAACTCATGCATATTCAAAAGCACTTTTATTTTTAGGATCTGGTTCAATTATACTTCTTCAACAACATAGACGGTGAGAGGGATAGAAAGAACAAAAGAGGTATGAAACATGTGAGGATAGAGGCACGCAGACATTTCCAGAGGTAAGTCATTTTTCCCAGCGTGTGCATGCCGCACATTTCGAGAGAGAGAGACAGACCCCAAACCAACTACCTACGTGCCAGCCGAACCCCCCCCCGCCCGCTCCCCAAGATCAAGTGTGGTATCTGCTCCGATCAGATTCATTCTGATTCGTGGTCCATCGAGGCCTTTTTTATGAACAAAAAAAAAAAAAGCAGCGTGCGCTAAAGCAAGCGCAGAGAGAGAGAGAGAGAGAGAAGTGAGAGAGAGAGAGAGAACATAGGAAGCCGGCATCGGGGAGATCTCGGCGCCAGCCGAACCCCCCCCCCACCCCCAACCCCCCAGAAAAACTTCTCTGTTCAAAGTTTTCTCACCGGATTCGAGGAGATCTCGGCGAGCGCAATCCAACCATGGTTTAAAAAAATAAAATAAAAAAAATTGACCCACTTCTGGGCCCAACCGGAATTCCGGTTGGACGACCTGGGGTCCAACTGGCCCAGTTGGGACCGGTCCGGTCCAACTGGCCGGTTGACGACACAACCCTGCTTTGCTGTCCATTCTATGTGATGGCGTCCTACAGAAAGTGTACAGGTACCGCAGCCACGGGTAGTGTGATCAAGACAACAACACACACGTGAGCATGCACAACAACTGTTACGGACTCCGCCAGGGCTCGATCCCTGGTCTATCTTTTTGCTGTTTCGGCTGCATCCCGTTTTCGGCCTGGCACCCTTTTTCCAAACCCCTCCTTTGGTACTGTAGGATTTTGGACAACTGGCGCCATGCTGCAATTCGGGCGCCACTTTCAAATACCGCATTTTTCAGTTCTGCCCTCGGGGCCTTTGCAGAAATGCCCCTGGTACCGTACGTGTCACCGATACTTATACCGGCTCCCCGTAAGGTACGGGGACCAGTCTCGTACCAGTTTTCTGCTGCTGTACTCGTACTCACTGTGACTTGCTGTTTCGGCATTCGGAATCCAAGACTTCGACTTTGTGCCGTGCCACTGTGTCTGCGTCCGACCCTCAGTCCGAGTCAGTCGTGTCGAGTGAGTGAGTGTGTGTGTGTGCTCTCCCTCTCTCCCTCTCTGTCTCCTCTCCCTCGGCTCACCCTCAGCCTCACGCCCGTCACACTGGTATCGGAGCGGTTCGAACCCGCCTGACCCACCTTGCTTCGTCGCCATCACCTGGCCATCATCATCATCGTCGTCGTGATCGTCGTCGCAGTGCCACGTCATCGTCGCGATCGTCGCCGTCGTGCCACGTCATCACCGTCATCGTCGCAATCATCGTCGTCGTGCCACGTCATCATCATCGCGATCGTCGTCGTCGTGCCACGTCACCATCGCCATGCCCGTCGTCCTTGTCGCCACGCTGTGCCATCCTCGTCATCATCGTTGCTACCCCGCGCAGATAAGTAATCGACGACAATTTTATTATTATTATTTTTTTTTTTCTTATTCTTTTCTTCCTCTTCGATTCTCCTTCTTCTTCTTCTTCTCCTTTTCATCTTGGTCTTTTTCTTTTCATCATCTTCTTCTTCTTCCTCTTCTTCTTCTTTTTTCTATCTTCTTCCTCTTCTTCTTCTTCTTCTTCTTCTTCTTCTTCTTCTTCTTCTTCGTCACGACTCCGATTCCGCTCCCTCGCAACCTCCCCTCCCCGACTTTCGATCTTCGCCCCCCACACGCTCTTTCCCCCCCCCCGCGCAACACCCCTGTCTGCTGCTGTCCGTGCACGTGGCCATCTGCACGTGGCAGCTTGCTGTAGCTGGTGAAGACCCCCCTGGCTAGGGGGCTGCGCTACAGATTTTTATAATTATTATTATTATTTTTTTCCTACATTGATTGCTGCTGCAGCAGCT